TATAACCTAGAACTTCTGCTCGGATGTGGCCTGTGGTAGCTCAGTAAACAAGTAGTTTTCCAAAGTAAGGGGAACACGGACTATTTCTAACAGGATCTCCAGGGCAGGCTGTTTGACCCCCCCCCCCCAGGGGAGGAGCAGTCTGTTAGGCCACAGAGGAGGACTTTGCAGCCAGCCCTGAAGATACCTGATAAAACAGGGTCAGATGAAAGGGGAGGAGGTCCTCCCCTATCAGTGGACTTGGAAAGGGGCAGGGAGGAGACCAGGGAGGGAGGGTGGGGTTGGGGAGGGAATGAGGGAGTGGGATACAGCTGGGACACAGAGTTAACAAAATGTAACTAAAAAGAAAAATAAAATAATAATAATAATAAAAAATATCCCAATTTGTAGAGCAATTAGGCTTAACAGAAAACCTCATTTCTGACATCTCCTGCTTGCTCTCTACATCCCACTTCTGTCTTTACTCCTCTCCATGGGACCAGAAAGGGCTTTCTTATTTAGGGGAACCCTATGCACTGAAGCCCATACTAGTGTCTCTTTAAGCCAGTGCTTCAGAAATTGAAATTATCATTGGGACACATTTTTCTCTTCTAAGATCACCAGTTCCATGACAACAAGCTTATTTTATATTGTGAAAAAAAAAAAAAAAAAAAAAAAAACTCTTCTGAAACTTGCTTTTTGTTTGTCTATTTGTTTTGGTTTTGGTTCTTCTCTTTTTTATAACTAACACATGAGCAAATTGTCTGGGATTGCTTATGATTTCACACTTTTCATTTATTTATGCACATACAATACAATCCTGCTTCCCATCACTCTCAAGAAAACAACTTTAACACTTGTGGATTCTGCCCAATCATTATCTGATTTGGTTTTCATAATGTTTGACTTCGTCAAGATTTCTATGTTAACATGAAAGTTAAATTTATTCGCCATATATGGTACCTATTTTTAGTTTTTAATGTTTTCCTTTTTTAACTGTTTCAAGGGAATTTTTGTTACCATATTGAACCTAAGCAACTCTTTTGTTTTAATTTTCTCCCAATTATTATAGCATTCTCCCTTATTTTAAATGACAATTACCATTGACTTTTAATTAGACATAAAATCCAAAACCACAGGGTACAAAATTAATTTCTTCAGGTCACTTTTCTCCAAAAATCAAGGGTCAGATGAACGAACCAAGCCAGGTTTTTAAAAAACAAACGCATTTATGCTGGAAGTTTTGTGTTATACAGTTGCAGCTGGTGTACTGCCTGTCCAAAATTATTTCTTCCTACCAGGTCATATTTACTTGTAGCAAGGGCGTATTTTATCGCTGACCTTTGGCTTGACTGTACGATTTTCTTTGTCAACTAAAATATGACTTGACAGACATATTAATCATCCAAGTCAAAGTTTACATGTCCTTTCAAATTTTGACTTTGCCCTTCTCTGGCTGTTCATGGATAGTGGCTACTCATATAATTTGAGTACTAGATTAAGAGCATATCTGCCTCTGAATCTTGCTGACTACAGTTGGTGGCACATAACTCAGTACAACATCAACACAATAGCTCTCTCAAAATGTAAGCTGAAATGCATGCTCATTGCTTAAAGGCAGTGGAATTATGGGAAAGTTTATATTGTTGCACAGGCAGATTAATAAAATATTAATATGGAGTTAAGCATATAGGTAAGTCTGAATTACTGCATTGCTCACATAAATTGAGCATTTAAAAATATTTCATTTATAGAGGATATACATAATCCAAATGTTGATTATATAAACTGTAATACTTAAAAATTTCCCATATTAAGTAATATAAGAAAGTGAATTAGTAATTGACAAGGCATTTTAATTGCTTCTTTTCCGCTAAAGTATAATGGAAGTATATCCTATTGTTGATCTTGAAACTTAGAAATATATTCTCAAGATCTGTGCAATAATATAAATGAAAACAATAACATACAAATCGTTGAAAGACAGGCAAAATATAGTACATCAGGTTGCCAATCACATAAGTGAAAGCACTAGGGAAGATGAAGTATTACAAGCTTAGTAAATCTACAAAGATGAGTTCATTTGAGGGCCAATCATGCACTAAGTTCAGCTGAGAGGATACTATGGCTTTTCTCAATGCTTGCAACTTTGAAAGGCAGATGTTTTTTACAGCAGTCTACAATTTCATTTATACACTGTAAGTCTAAACCATGTCAATAGTTCAAATAAATAAGACAGTAACAA